GTAAAATAAGTGCTACAAGCAAGGGTAGTGGGTGGTGCCCCCGGCAGCCCCAGCAAGGACTCTATGATAGGAGGAGAGGTGGCCCTTCCTGGAGCGACGCACTCATTGTGATTCAGGCTGTCATCGCACTCCTCAGGACCTCCGCACACTCCTGAGGTGGTTCCTGACCTTTCTTAGGCCTTACAAAGTGCTCAGTGAAGTCTTAATGACATTTTTTTTTTCTCTTTTGAGATCGTCTACTTCCTAATAGGATAAATTCAGAGGAAAGCACGCTCCAATCCTTCAACTGCCTCTTCTCAACACAAACAACGAAGAACTCATTAACGGGCCTGAAGAGGAGGCGGTAGAAAGGGCTTGTCACAGGACCACGGGCTGAGAAGCCACCCTCAGGTGGGATCGCACGACTCGCCCCAAGGCCACTGGGTCAGGAGTGGGGTCTGTATCCCAGTGAAGGGGAAACTGATGTCTGATGTCTGCCTGGCATTGCCATGGCATCTCTTTGGGCAAAGTTTGGTTAGTGATTTAGCCCTGCGTACATCTGAGCGTGCTTTGACAGCCATGCTTTTTCATTTGACTCTAACAGGAATCCCATGAAATAAGCAGAATGGCCTGACTCTCCCAATTTGGCAGAAAAGACAATAGGGAAGTTAAGCTCTGAGAAAACAGTGGACATGGAGTGAAAACCCAGGCTCAGCCGCTCATTGTGTGACCTTGAGTGAGGCTCCTTCCCTTCCAGTTTTGTCATCTGTGAAACGCTAGGGATGGACAACATGGGTGTGAGGTCTTTTTACACATCTATTCTAGTGATAAACTACATGAGCAAAAGGACTTGCCCAAGGTCATGCAGTTGGCGAGGTGAGCGAGAATAACACAGAGGACAGTGTTTTCCAGACTGCCCCTGTTGAAAGGGAACACCCTCCATTGCCACCCACACCATCTCCCCAAGTGTGGGCTGCAGGGGCCTCTACATGCCCCCAGACCTTGCAAAGACCAAGACCCCCGGGGGTGGTGCAGTAGCGGGGCACACCCAGCATCTGTCCTGACTGCAACGTGAAACCCCAACGTGGCCAGTTGCTCATTAGAGAAGAGGCTGTTTTCTTTGGTATCTCTTTCACTAAATGAACCTAATGGACACGGGCCCGGTGTCAGGCCCTGCACCAGAGGAGGGGATGTGGAAGCAAATGAGACATACTGTCCACCCATGAGAAAGGTGGGAGGCATGTGGACCAGGCTGCTGTGTACTGCTGAGTGGGTGAATAAGAATTCATCCATGTGCCAGGAGGGTGGTGCTTCCCCACTCCCCTGGGACAGATGCGCCTGTACTCAGGACCCTTCCGGACTATGCCCTGTGTATCTTTTCACCGGGCTGTTTATTTGTATCCTTGAAAATGTCCTTCATAATAAATGTAAGTAAGTGTTACATGGACCTAACCCTAACCCTTACAGTAAATGTAAATAGGTATTTCCCTGAGTTCTGTGAGCTCCTCTAGCAAATTAATTAAACCCAAAGAGGGGACCATGGGAACCCCAACTTGAAGCCAGTCCATCAGACATTCCGGAGGAGTGGACTTATTAATATGACCGGTGGGAAGGAGGGGGCAGTCTTGTGTCCCTCAACCTGTGGGATCTGACACTATCTCCAGGTAAATAGTGTCAGAATTGAATTGGGGGACATCCAGCTGATGTCCACTGAAGAACTGATTGCTAGCTTGCTGGTGGGGAGAAATCCCCACATATTTTGAGGTCACGGAAGTCTTCTGGGTATATTGTTGTGGTGTGAGCAGAGGAAAAATGTTCTGAGAGTTTTTCCAAACAAGGCTCCCGTTGGATCACTAACCCTATCACTGGCCCTGGGCTCTCTCAGCCAGGGAAAAGGGGCATTTTTTTGTGACCCACACAAAGGCACTCGCTGTAGCCCAGGTGAGCATGGTCTTCTTCAAAGGGAGTGGAGATTCATAAAACTTTAGAAGGGATTAGGTTTTGAGAAGTTTGTGTGTAGACAGCATCCGCCAAACACATTGGAGAGAGCAGATGCATGCAGAAGATGTACACGTCTGACCACAACCAACCTACTGTCTGGAAGAAGTATGTGCTCTTTTTCTAAGAGTCAACCCTTCCAACCACACAGAATCAAGGAACCCAATAGCTCCCTTTCTGCAATGTGCTAGTAGATGACTATTCTTCCATCTGTTCAACACAGTCAACAAAATCGATTGAGGGCCATGTCTTAGGCACAGTGATCAGAATCCATGAGGGGGACCACGAAGAAGGAGAGGCAGCTTTCAAGAGGCCAGGGGACTCTCGGCTTGGGAGAGTACAAAGAGACAGACTCAAACACCCCTAGGACAGAGCAGAGAGTGATCAGTGTTAGAAGATACCCGTGATGGCCTGGGGAAAGTGCCATGGGAATTCAGAGGAAGGAATGATTAATTCCAACCCAGAATCCGGAAAGATTTCATGAAGGAGACTGCGCTCACAGAGACCCTCCACCAGAAGAGGAAGAAGCCCTCAGTCCCTGTGTCCTTTGGCCACATCAGCTGTGTAAGCTTGAGAAAGCCGTTTTTCTCTGTTTTAAAATGAACCATTTGCCCTAAGTGCTTCACAGCATTATGGGGATTAAAAGAGAACTGATTTAAATGCACATTGGATAAATAAAAGCACCAAATATAAGCCTTTCATCATCACTGGGGGAAGAGAGGGCAGAAAGCTAAAAGCAGAAAGTGTATAAGGGAGGAGGTGGGGTGGGGGTGGGTGGTGTCTGCCAAACACAGGGGCGCAGGGATGATGTGAGTGCCTACTGGGCTCGTAACTGCCTCCAGTGATTTCTTTAACCTCCCACAGCGAATTTTATTAAAGAGAACCCGATAAGAGCAAGCCAGAACATCGAAATTCCTCTGCATTGGGAAAATGGAAGTCTCAACCAGGGAAGTGGCTTCCAGTCCCAAGTGACAGGATAACCCTGAGCCCAGCCCTCAGGATCGCTGGGGGAGCGTGTGAGCCTCGGTCTCTCCAGCTCCCAGCACTGAGCTTGGGTTTGATGTTGGCTCACCAAACACCCATTAAATGAATGGATGCAGTCCTGACTGCTTTCCAAGGAATTTTACATTCATGGACCATTTTGATTCTTAACCATAAGCCAGAGGAGCAGATAGGGCACAATTATTATCCCTGTCAAAGAGGGGAAACTGAGGCTCCCAGGGGTAAGTGTCCAAGTTAGCACTGTTAGAAGGAACCTGGACCCCTGACTCCTCCTAAAGGGTCTTTTGCTCACACCATGTCACCCCCAAAGAATTATTATGATAGCCAGTTTATGCCACTATAAACCATCTTCCTGGACCTTCCTAAAGGCCTACTACACGCTGTCTTAAGCTCTTTCCTTGTCGCAACTCACTTAATCAGGTCCTTTCATCACATGATGCTCAAATGTACTGGTTTATTCCAATTCACAAGGTAGTTTTTGTGCATCCCACATATAAGAGTCTTGTGGATTTTCTAGATCTTTTACCAAGAACAGATTTGGATTAAAACCTTTGGTTTGGTGGTTTGGAGTCATTGCTCCTTAGAAGAAAGAGAAGGAAGAAGCAGTTCAGGGTATCAGAAAGAGATACAAGGGCACTGTTTTTCCCTGCCTCCCGTGGCCCCACCTCATGGACATTCCGTCCTACAGAGTTGGCTGTCAGTTTTGACAGATGGCTTGGCTGCAGGAACGGGGCAGAGGACAGGCTCATGGTTAAGGTCGCTAAGTAATTTGTGGCACCAAGGAGCCAGAGCCAGCTAGGCTGATTTGGGGTCTGAAATCTGGGCTGGAGTCCAAGTTCTAGCCAGGGAGAGTAGGATGGGGAGCCCTGCTCCCTGCGCCTTGTGACACCCTCCACTGCAGCTGTAGCAGGCAGATCAGTGCCCTTCTATGTAGGGTGCTAAGGGAGGGCAGAGGAATGGGGCTCAGGGAGACAGTCAAAGCACCTTCAAGGTCAAAGCCACCCTCCCCTTTCATGACCCACCCCAGCCCCTTGGATGATAATAGACTACTGTACCTACTCCCAAGGAGATGTTTTATTCTAATAACATTTTTTGTAGCATCAAGGTTTGGGCAGGAGGCTGGAAGCCACACCCAGCCCCCAGTTCTGTTGCAGAGTACATGGCAACATGCTCATGCTGAGGGGCTCCGAGGCACCCCTAAAGTGGCAGGAACCTGGGACAGGGGAAGGAAGGGAATGTCAGAGGACTCCCAGCTTCTGAAGAGAGGAGTGGGTCAGGTAAGAGGAGGTCTGGGCCTTTGAGAACAACTCAGTGTGACATTTGTCTCCAGCAGCCTGGCCAGGTCAGCTCTGATCCCTGCAGTTGGTAGAGTATTTAGCACCCACCACGGGGGATCTCAGTAGTACAGTCTGCCACCCATGGCTTTCGCATCACACTGAGAGGCAAGAGTATCGTGGGACCTGGGAGAACTGAGTCATTAGCTGGATAAGGTACAGTGATGGATTAGCTCATCAGATCAATCATTTGTGCCTGCTGTCCACTGACTGAGAGAAATGGATACTGAGTGGGTCAGCTTGGATGGGATGAGGGAGGTGAGACCAACCAGAGCATGAGGCTCACAGGGTGGGAAGCCTCAGGGGGTGTCCTCAGCACACAGGAAAGACATCGGATGGCTAAGTGGACAGCAGGGATAAGAGGATGCTAGAGGCAAATTCACCAACCACATAGTTTTCAAGCCATAGAATTTAGAGCTGGAAGAAATTTTAGAGATCTAGTCCAGCTTCTGCTGACACAGCTTAGAGTGATCAAAGCCACACGGCAGAGCCAAGACCAAGAACCAGATCTCTCTCCACGCCTCCAACAACTTTTCAGGCTAATGATCTTCCTAGCACTCTCCAGCCTCCCGTCATTGCTAACTCTAGTCCTCTGACTACCGTGGAGCTAGGAACAGCTTGGGAGTGCTGTAAGTATTCTTGGGGATTCTGTGGACCACCGGTATCCACCATTCCAACCAGACATACCTTGTGGGAGTAATGCTGATCAACAATCCTTGCCAACCCGAAATCCCCAATCTTGAGCACGAGGTCCTCTGTGCTGATGAAGATGTTGGCGGGCTTCAGGTCCCTGTGCAGCACGTTGGCGGAGTGGATGTACTTGAGCCCGCGGAGCAGCTGGTACATGAACAGCTTGGCATGCTCTTCCGCCAGTGTGCCCTGCTCCAGCAGGCGTGCCAGGTCAGTCTCCATGTACTCCTGGACGATGTAGGCCACGCTGAACTTGAGCAGCTCACCCTGCAGGTCAGTGCCCTTGGGCCCGAGCACCTCGTACACTTTGACGATGTTGTCGTGGTCCAGACGCCGAATGATCTTGATCTCTCGGAGTGCATGCTTCATGCTGCGGGCATCACTCAGGGCAATCTTCTTCACGGCGACCTTCCGGCAGGCCCGGCTGTCCATGGCCGACAGCACCAAACCATTGACACCGAAGCCCAGGGGTTGGAAGTCAACAAAGCGCCCACCGAGGTCATACCCGTAGACACTGGCGATGCAGTCACTCTTCTCAGCCATTGTGGGCTCAGTGATCTGGAGCTGCCCAGATAACACAGGGGCAGTCAGGAAAGGCCAAGTCTCGGCTAGTGGTCTCCCTCGCACACTTCATTCTGTCAAGTCCCACGGCTGAGGGATGCGTTTTCTCCCGGTGAGGTCACTGCCACCAGCTCTCTGGAGACGAGAATGGCATATGGCCATGCTCGCTGAGCTGCACTAGTTGGGGGCTCAGACTGTTGCCTTAACCTGCATGGGGAGGGCTGTCCACTAATTCCTGTGTTTCCTGAACACTCCTTAAAGCTTAGAATGGCTCATATTTCTTTTTAAATCTGGCATCTTGGAAAGAAAACCGAGTATCATTATCTACAGAATGTCAAGTTTTCTACCATAGTGGACTGCAAAGTAAAAGATGCAGAAACTCTCCCCTTTGAACACTTTGTTACAGGCTGAAATGCAAGAGTTGTTTGCTGAGCTGAACTCCTTTACTTAAGATGCTCCAAAGCTCAGCTGTGTCACAGCCTCTCTCTGTGTTCCAAGCAGTATGCAGGGATCCCATCAATGAATTCTGGAGGCATCCAGGGGCTTCTTTCTACCTCTCCCGTTTCTACCAGCTCACCTTAGATTCCAAAACCTGAGCCGGTCTGGTGAGCACTGGTGAAAAAAGCTGGAGAAACCCAAGCACCTTTCATGAGCTCTACACCAAGTTACGCCCGAGGTTCCAGATGCAGGGGAGCTCAGCTGCCAGGCCGGGATCCTCTGGAGCCTTTGGATATGGGCAGCATCCTCTTTCGCCAGCTCATCCACGCCACCTTGCCCAAGACTGTATTCCACTGCACCCAGAGAGGCTGCAGGAATGTGGCATCTTTCAGACCAAGTCTCCTTCCCTGTCAAAGAGATAACGTTGGGTAAATTTCCATACTCCGGCTTCCAACACCTTCCCACTTGCATCTTTTGTTAACCAGCCCAAGTGTTATTTGATCTGTCCAGCCAGCTGAAACACTGCTTGCTCAGGGGATTCCGGGCTTTGCACTGCCCAGCCACCCTCCTGCTGTGCGTAGCACTCCCCTGGAAGAGAGAGAAGATGGATTGATTTGATAAGACCATCAGATGTTGTGCCTCTTATGTCAGTGCCGGCTCCCCCAAGGTTAACATGTGCAAATTACGGGGGAGAAGTATCCCTTCTGACCTTTGCAAAATTAATTTGTTTTATGCTTTCCAAACACACACATCAGCGCTAGCTAGGAAGGGTGAGAGTAGAAAGTAACGAGTTGCAGACAGAAAACAAAGGATCGATACTCTTGTTTTGCACTTGGGTTCCTTTTCTTCCTTCTTTTACAAATGTCTTTGAACATTTTAAGAGGCTTTCACGGGGACTGAGATTTAACATTTGTATCTCTCGCTTTCCACGTAAGTTGAAGAAGCCCATGTACCAAATTACAAGGAAGTAGTGTTGCCACCCGTAATAAAAGGACTCTCTTTGCCCAGAAACCAGGGTGCAGAGTTCCTAGTGCTACATCAAGACTGGCATGGTGAGCTGTATTCTTTTTGACAATGGTGACCTCGCTCTTCAAAGCAATGGGTCAAATCTAAACTTCACTGTCCCTGCCCTCTGGTGGCTGTTGACTCAAATTACAGGTATAGGAGCTAAGTGGGGAGAAAAAACCCTGCAAAACTAGAAATGTAAATTCAGATCTCTGAAATAAGGTAATATTATAGCGTCTAAGAGACTGGCAGGTTTTCTAAGTTCATAAAGACCACAGACACACAAAGAAAGAACACTGTATCTAACACAAAGGCATGAACCTGGCAGACTGCTGCTTTATTCTCATCATATCGCAGGGCCTCCTGTAGAGACGCTTTCCTATCTGAAGTCTGCACAATTCTGCAAAGATAAATGAAGCAAAAACAATAGTCAACTCAATGCTCTGAAATTAAGGGGGCAAATTAGGGGACACAGATGATCTGAAATAGTAAACAATCAGATCCCCTGTAAAGACTTCTAATGAAAGAAATTTTCCAAGGGTCTAGAACATAGTAATTGCTCAACAGATGTTACCTATTGTTGCTGTTTAGTTAAACATTCCCTTATATTTGAATAAGATGTATTCAAGATTCTGATAATTTGTCAGATCTTTGATAATTCTATTCTGCATGTTTTTACTGGGTCCAGGAACAAAACAACCACAGACTTACAGAATTTCAGATTGGGAAGCAATCTAAGCAAACAAGGCCCGTGGTCGTTATCTAGAGATGATACTGCCCTCCTCACCTTATTTGACTGGGAGTCACTACTGGTATTTAATGGGCAGGGCCGGATTTGCTAACCATTCTACTGAGCATCCCCACCTCCATGCCCAAATGCCCAGAGCACGTCCACTGACATCCACCCCTCCACCCCCAAATGCCAACAACACTTCCACGGAGAAACATCAATTCTGATTCCAGTTCTCACTTTACAGGTGAGGACACCAAGGCTTGGAGAACACTAGCTTAGTGCTTTCAGTATAGATAGGGTCAATATCCATCTGATGAATGGGTAAATGAATACCATTCACTCTGTTTGAGGATGCCCAGCCACTAAGAGACAGTGCTGGGAGCACCCAGTGAACCAGATTCTATGGCCTGTGCTAGTGAAGTCCACCTGGATACCTAACTCAGGGGAATCAAAGAGCCTCCGCAGCTCCCCATTGTCTCACTCCTCGACTCCTGCTGCCCAAGTCACGTAATGGCAATTACATTGAAGCTTCTCTTTCTCCCCACAAGCCTGGTCTGGCTCCCAAGGGCACAGCAAAGAGGCAATCGCATATTATTATTTTTTTTTAGGAAGAGACATGCTTAAGCCTTCTTCCCTTTCCAGCTCCTGCTGGGTTGTAAACAGAGAGAGGAATGAGCACCTAAGCAGAGAAGGGATGACATCACAAGCAAGCTGAATGCAGGATTTGCTTGAGGTCAGCTGCAATGCAGATAATCTGCGAATAATTAAGAGGTGCTTTATTTATTTTTAAAACTCTTTCCCTCTCATGCATGGGAAGAGACACCCTGTGTGCATGTCTCTTTTTCAGTGGTCTTCCCAACATGCTGTCAGCTTTAGGGGGCAAGTACCATGTCAAGGTGGAAAGCCTCGATTCCAGCCACTCTACCTTTCTGGTGGGCCACTAAATAGACTCTTTCCTGCCTGGCTTCTTTGCTTGTACCTTCCCAGTTCCTGAAATATTCTCCTGCTTCCCCACCACCCCCATTTGTTGAAATCCTATCATTCAGAATCCAAAGTCTCATTTTTTTCCTAAAGCATCCATCCCGGTTCTCAATGACATATCTCCCTTTTCTAAACTCCTGTGGCACTCATGTGTATGCTGTGTTTGGCATTTACCATATATTAGCCTGGGTTGTTATTTAACTTTTTGTGCATGTCCATCTCCCAACTAGACTGTAAGCTTCACAAGTAGCTTACAGGGCACAAAGTAGGGCATAGAAAATATCCGTGGACTAGAAGGAGCTGAGTGCCATTCATTATGTCTACAAAGTGGTGATGCCTACATTTCCTAGGGGTCACTGTCCCTTGTGATACTTGCCACGGAAATTGTTCAAAGGGCGCATCTCACAACAAGCCCTAACCACTCAGACCAACTAATATTTCTGAACTTCAATCCTCTTAGTAACATCTTCTGCTTAGATGCTGCCTCTCTAGAGTTTCAGTGCTCTAATCAGGCAACCTCTTGTCTGACCATTTCTCCGTTCCCATTTGAGTTTATTATTATGCCTCTCTTCTCAAGCCTCTTGATTTTCTGTTTCTTTCCCCAAGTCCTCTGTAATTTGCATTGTAAACCCTTTGCCTTTCTCACTAGGTGGGCTGATTATGAGGCATCCATCACCTAAGAAGCCTCAGGTTAGTGGTCCATTTCTTGCATGATATGCTGAGAGGTGTGGGCCCATCAGCCATGGGGAGGAGTAGACTGACATCTGGATGTGTCCACCTGGGCAGGGGAGTGGTTGTGGCAGCTCTTGGTGTGGTGCAGCTTCTCAGGGCCAGTTCAAAGTGGTGGTTCAGAACTGCTCCGAACCACAGGTGTGATTTCAAACCCAGGGAGGTGGCATTCACTGTCTGGGATGGGAAGGCCACTCGTTCAGTCGTGCTTGAATGACACCCAGCAAGAGGAAAGCATGGAACTCCCGCAAGGGCAGCCAAGGTCCCCATGATTCCATGGCTGGGCATTGTAATAAAACACAGGAATAGAAATTTCTACCCTCAGGACTCTGAACAATGGAGTTTCAGCTCTCACTGCTTTCTCACCGACTCTCAGGCAACAGCTTATTTGAGGGCAATTAATTATTCTCTCACTCATCCAGCCTTTTAACGTGTGGAGGCAAACCAGAGACGAGATGGCGTGTGCCAACTGTCCCTTTCTGGGATTCCTGGGGCTCTGGTTTACACATTGGCTTTGGAAAGTCTAAATTTAGACTCACCTCCCTGTCTGCTCAGATCCTCCCAAACCTCATGCTGTCGACTTTCCACAGGAACTATCTCCCCAGCAAGGTGCTGACATTTCACAGACGCTGCTTTCTTCCCCTCTCCTGAACACTCTGAAACTTACAGGAAGCCCTTCTCCCATGAAGCCGCTGTTTCCAGCCGAGCAGGCTATGCACTGCGTGCTTCTAGGTGGCACCTTCACATGGCAATCAGTCTGACTCCAAGGCTCGTGATCCTAATGAGTCACTGTGGTCTATGTGAATGGAGTCCTCTAGACCAAGGATGGGCAAACTTTTTCTATAAGGAGCCAGAGAAGAAATATTTTCATGTTTGTAGGACATACAGCCTCTGTTGAAACCACTCAACACAACTTAATTCTGCCTTTAGAGCAAAAAAGCAGCCACAGACAATACCTGAACAAAGGTACATGGCTGCATTTCAATAAAACTTTATTTACAAAACTAGGTGCTGGGCCAGAGTAGGCTTGTGGGCTGCAGTTCGTGGACCTCTGCTCTAGACTCCACGGGAACATCCTCTAGCTCATTCACAAGCAGGCCCTGAAGTGTGCTGGGACCTGGCCCCTTTCTGGCTCCTCCTGCACTGCACTGTCTCCTTCCTCTTGGACTCAGTCTTCCTTTTGCCCCTCATGGTGACACGATCCCAGGCCTGGCTGGCCTCCTGGGGAGCTACCCTAGGAGGTGAGGCTTGGTTCAGCTCATCTACAAATTCTTTCCAAAAGCTACCTAATCTGGCCTAAAGGTCCCTTCTAGTTCTAAAATTCTGTGGTACAGCTGATGTGCCTCACTCCACAACCCCAATTGCATTTTAACAAGCCTTCCAGAGAGATGGCAAAGAGGACATGATGAAGATGGTGGAACTGCATGTCCTGAGGGTTTACCAGAGGCCAGTGGCTTCACCTGATTATTTCAGTTGGGTCTCACAACATCCCTGTGAGGTTGATATCATTTTCCATGGAGCTCCAAGAGGGAAGTGATTTTCCCAGTCACCCTCTGGCAGGTGAAGAATCTGGGATGTCAACTCAGGTTGGTCTGAGTCCAGCGCTTACGCTCTAATCGCCATAACATGATCTTAGCCCCAGCGAGTAACTTACCACAAACCATCTAGGCTCAGTATGAGTTTTCAGGCCCAGTGAGGGAAAAATGTGAGGTAGGCACACCTTGTGGTATGTCTCAGATTAAAGCAAGAGGCAGCCACCTTTTCAGCCTGTGTTCAACCCAGTATGGAGGCCACAGTAACCCCATTCTATGGAAAGGGAAACCCAGAAATAGAATGCTGAAATAATATTAAAAGTGGAGTAAAAACCCCTTGATTTTAAACAACCACACCCCCACCTTCCATCATGTTCTTGACCTTTAATTGTGAACCTCAGCCATGCTGGAGCCTGTGGCACAGGGA